CTCAACTGGTATGTAGCAGGTACTGGCTTGTTCAGTAGACTCTCCTCTACAGTTCTGTTTTGGCGAGAAGCCTTAGCAAGAAAAGTAATGCCTCCACCTTTGTAACTCCTCAACAGATGGCGGTACTGGTATACGGCAGGTACTGTCTTGTTCAGTAGACTCTCCTCTACGGTTCCATTTTAGTGGGAAGCCTTAGTATCGAATGGTTGTGTTGTTAAAGTGTGAAGTATGTGTTACAGTAAGTCATAGCAGGATCAAGTGTGCATTAAAGAAAACCCTTATGGTGTTAATTATTTTGTACAGCTGGTAATGTAGGTCAGCCAGCATGTTTGGGGTATAACTGTATGGATTTTAGAATACAGTTTGGAGAAGAAATACGCTACTCTGAGGAAGAGAAGCAATATGCTGTAATGCTGCTACGCTCTAACAGCGATGCTTTTTGCTATGGTGAAATAACTATTTACTCAAGGCTTGTTCGGGCTAGTTAAGCGCATTGGACTATTATTACGACGAGACATTTCTCAGAAGTGGCTTTCTGCCCCGTCTTTTGCTGACCTTCCCGAGACAGCTTTGGGCCGCCTTGGCCAAATCTCTGCTTAGAACGGCTCTTGGGAATGTGCCCTTCGGAAATAAATCCCTGCTTAACGGGGTCGGAGAGTTCTCGCCGGGCGTCTTATCCAACGTCTTGCACATTGGTTTTAGTACCACCGAGATTGGGTAACATAGATCTGTCAATATATACATACATAGCATACACAGCGTTGTTTATATATGTATATGTGTAATGTATATGTATATTTTATATATTATATATGTGTGTGTATATATATATATACATATATATATATACATACATAGCATACATAGCTCCATTTATATATGTATAATGTATATGTATATTATATACATAGACACACACACACATATATATATATATATGTATTAATCACCCTCCCCAATTCTAAGGTGCACCCCATTTCATTTATATATAGGTGTATATATATATAGGTGTGTGTATATATATATATATACACACACACACACACTATATAATGTATATTATATAATATACATTATATAGTATATATAATATACTATATTATATAATATACATTATATAGTATATATAATATACTATATAATATAATATGCTATATAGTATATATAATGTATATAGTATATATATTGTATATTATATACTATATAATGTATAGTATATTATATTGTATAGTATACTATATAATGTATATTACACACACATATTATATATATATATATATATATATATATATATATATATATATATATATATGTATTAAGCACCCTCCCCAGTTCTAAGGTGCACTCCATACATACATAACATACATAGCTTCATTTATACATGTATATGTATAAGTGTGTATATATATATATATGTGTGTGTGTATATATATATATATATATATATATATATATATGTATGTATTAAGCACCCTCCCCAATTCTAAGGTGCACCCCATACATACGTAGTATACATAGCTTCATTTCTATAGGTATATGTATAGTGTATGTATGTGTGTGTGTATATATATCTATATATTATATGTATTAATCACCTTCCCCAATTCAAAGGTGCATCCCATACATGCATAGCATACATAGCTTCATGTATATATGTATATGTATAATGGATATGTGTATGTATGTATACACACACACACACACACACACACATATATAATGTATTAAGCACCCTTCCCAATTCTAAGGTGCGGCCCATACATACATAGCTTCATTTATAGATGTATAATGTATATGTATATTATATGTGTGTGTGTGTATATATTATGTATTAATCACCCTCCCCAATTCAAAGGTGCACCCCATACATACGTAGCATACATAGCTTCATTTATATATGTATATGTATACTATATAATGTATATTACACAGAGAGAGAGAGAGTTGGAAGAGACCCCCAAAAGCCATCTGGTCCAACCCCATTCTGCTGGGAAGACATAATCAAAACCCTCCTGACAGATGGCCATCCAGCCTCTGAATAAAGACAGCTGGCAAGCCACTGATCCTTTCCTGGAAAGTAAGCCTGCAAGAGTTCACGGCCAAGGCTGAGCCGTCTCAAAATAGGCCTTCGCGGCCCGATTAGCTGTCAGGCCTCATTGGCATCATTCTGAGCATCAACTGGGCTTCTGCAAGGAGAGCGGGCAGCGCTTCTTCTCTTCTGAAGCTCCATCGGTTGGGTTTTCAGAAGGAAAAGCTCTCAAAGTATGTAGGTAGGTTGGCTGGAGAGCCATGCTGACATGAAGGCATTGTGAAGAGGTGGAGAAAGGAAGGAAGAAAAGAGAAAAAGAAAGAAAAAAGGGGCAAAGAAGGTAGGAAGGAAGAAGGAAGGAAGAAAAGAGGAAGGAAAGGAAGGAAGAAGAGAAAAAGAAGAAGAAAAAGGGGAAAAGGAGGAAGGGAAGAAGAGGAAAAAGAAGGGGGAGAAAGAAGGAAGAGAAGGAAAAAAGGAAGAAGGAGGAAGGAAGAAGGAAGAAAAAAGAGGGAGGAAGAAGAAAGAAGAAAAGAGAAAAAGAAGAAAGAAAGGGAAAGAAGAGGAAGGAAAGAGGAAGGGAAAAAGGGAGGAGGAAAGAAGGGAAAGAGAAAGAAAAAGAAAAAAGGAAGAAGGAGGAAGGGAGGAAGGAAGGAAAAAAAGAAAAAGGAAGGAAGAAGAAAGAAAAAAGGGGAAAGAAGGTAGGAAGGGAAAGAAGGAAAGAAGAAAAAGAAGGGAGGAAGGAAAGAAGGAAAAAGAAAAAGAAAGAAAAAGGGAAAAAGGAAGGGAAGAGGAAGGGAAGAGGAGAAGAAAAGGGAAAAAGAAAAAAAGAAAGAAAAAGGGAAGAAGAGGAAGGGAAGAAGAGAAGAAAGAGGAAGAGAAGGGAAGAAAAGGAAAGAAGAAAGAAAAGGGGAAGAAGAGAGGGAAAGAAGAAGGAGAAAGAAGGAGGAGGAAGAAGAAGAAAAAGAGAGAAAAGAAAAAGGGGAAAGAAAAGAGGAGGAAGAAGAGAAAAAAGGAAGGAGGAAAAGGAAGAAAAGAAAAGAAGAAAGAAAAAGGGGAAGAAGGAAGAAGGGAAAAGAAGAGAAAAAGAGGAGGAAAAAGAGGAAGAAAGAGAAAGAAGAAAGAAAAAGGGAAAGAGGAGGAAGAAGGAAGAAAAGAAAGGAAAGAGAAGAAAAGGAAAAAGGGCAAAGAAGGTAGGAAAAAGAAGGAAGGAAGGGAGAAGGAAAGAAGAAAGGAAAAGAAGAAGAAAAAAGGGAAAGAAGAAGAGGAAAGGAAGAGAAAAGAGAAAGGAAAGAGGAGAAGAGAAGAAAAAGAAAAAGGGAAGAGAGAAGGGAAAGAAGGAAGAAAAAAAGAAGTAGGAAGAAGAAGAAGAAAAGAGAAAAAGAAAGAAAAAGGGAAAGAAGGTAGGAAGGGAAAGAAGGAAGGAAGAAAAAGAAGGGAGGAAGGAAAGAAGGAAGAAAAGAGAAAAAGAAGAAAGAAAAAAGGGGCAAAGAAGGTAGGAAGGGAAAGAAGGAAGGAAGAAAAAGAAGGGAGGAAGGAAAGAAGGAAGAAAAGAGAAAAAAGGGGCAAAGAAGGTAGGAAGGGAAAGAAGGAAGGAAGAAAAAGAAGGGAGGAAGGAAAGAAGGAAGAAAAGAGAAAAAGGAAGAAAGAAAAACGGGGGAAAGAAGGTAGGAAGGGAAGAAGGAAGAAAAAGAAAGAGGAAGGAAGGAGGAAGAAAAATAAAAGGAAGGAAGGAAGGAAGAAAAAGGGGAAAGGAAGAGAGAAGAAAGAGAAGAGAAGAGGAAGGAAAGAAAAAGAAGGGGAAAGGAAGGAAGGAAGAAAAGGAGAAAGGAAAGGAAGGAGAAAGAAGGAGAAGGGAAGGAAGGAGAAAAAGGGAGGAAGAAGGAGAAGAGAAAGGAGGAAGGAAAAAGAAGAGAGGGAGAAAGAAGGAAGAAAAGAGAAAAGAAAAGAAGGAAAAAAAAAGGGGAAAGGAAGGAAAAGAAGAAAGGAGAAGGAAGGAAAGGAAGGAAGGAAGAAAAATAACAGAGGGAGGAAAAAAGACAAAGAAGGAGAAAGGAGAAGAAGAAGAAAAAAAGAAGACAGGAAGGAAGAAAAAAAGGAGAAAAGAAGGAAGAAGAAAAGGAGAAGGAAAGGAAGAAAAAAAGAAAGAGAAGGAAGGAAAGAAGAAAAAAGGGAGAGGAAAGAAGAGAAAAGAAAAAGAGAGAAGAAAGGAAGAAACAATAAAATCCCGGTTCAGGAAATTATAAAATAGGGGTGATGAAATGAATGAAGGAAGAAAAAAGGAGAAAGTGAACAAGGAAGGAATGAAGGAAGAAAAATAAATAATACAATAAGACAGTAATGGGAAGTGAAAAAAGTAAAGGCTCATGAAGAAAAAGAATGGAGGGTTCAAGTAGTTACTAAACAACGAAAGATAAAAAGAAGACAGCAGTTTATAACAATAATGGAGGTGAGGATGAGAAAAGAAACATATAAATAGACAGGAAGGAAAAGGAGGGGAAGGAAGAAAAAGAAGGGAGGAAGAAAAGGAAGAAAATAGAAAAAGGAGGGAGGAAAGAAAGGAAGGAAGAAATGGGAGGAAGGAAGAGAAAAAGAAGGGAGGGAAGGGAAGAGAAAAAGCAAGAGAAGAAGGAAAGAAAGAAAGAAAGAAAGAAAGAAAGAAAGAAAAGAGAGAGGGAGAAAATGCCTGAAGGCGAAGAGAGGAAGACAAGCTGTGCCTAGAATGACCCCTCACCCCCCTTGGAGAGTGCCACAGCTCAGGCGCGATGGCCTCCTGGGGGTTGTAGTCTTTGCCCGGCCCTTCCTCCCTCTGCGCCGATGAGGGCCGAGACTACGACTCCCGTGGTGCCACCGCGCTGAGCCCTGTCAGCGGCGCGCATGCGCGTTGGGGCGGCGTGAGGCGGCGCCCCGCCCTCGGAGGGGGGCGCGCATGCGCAGTGGGCGCGCCGGGCCCTTCCCTCAGAGGATGGAGGGCGGAGGCGGGCCGGAGTGCGGTGTCTGCTTCCCAGGCCCAGCCCGGCTCCCCTGGCCCCGGCCGGCGGGAGGCCTCTGAGAAGGCCCGGGGAGGAAGGAGAGCGAGGAGGAGGAGAGGAGCCAGGCCCACGGTGAGCGGGCGGGCCCAGCTTGGACTACATCTCCCGGCGTCCCTCGCGGACGGCTGCCTCGGCAGGGGCTGATGGGAGTTGGAGTCCCTGCTCTGGGAGGGCAGGCCTGAGGCCTGGGCAGGAGGGAGAGGGAGAGGCCTGGCAGGGTTGGCGAGCCGGGCTGGAGGGCCATCTGTCGGGAGGGCTTGGACGGTGTCTTCCTACATGGCAGGACTGTGTTTCTCTCTCTGCCTTCTGTCTATCTATTTATCTTCCTGCCTGCCTGCCTATCATCCATCTATCTATATAGAATGCCAAGAAGCAGGAATATTGCATTCAAAGCACCCCTGACAGATGGCCATCCAGCCTCATAGAATCCTAGAGTTGGAAGAGACCTCCTGGGCCATCATCCAGTCCAACCCCATTCTGCCAAGAAGCAGGAATATTGCATTCAAAGCACCCCCGACAGATGGCCATCCAGCCTCTGTTTAAAAGCTCCAAAGAAGGAGCCTCCACCACACTCCCTCCGGGGCAGAGAGTTCCACTGCTGAATGGCTCTCACAGTCAGGAAGTTCTTCCTAATGTTCAGATGGAATCTCCTCTCTTGTAGTTTGAAGCCATTGTTCCATTGCGTCCTAGTCTCCAAGGAAGCAGAAAACAAGCTTGCTCCCTCCTCCCTGTGGCTCCTCTCACATATTTATACATGGCTATCATATTCTGAATATTTCGAAAGGCAGAATCAGTTGGAAGAGACCTCATGGGCCATCCAGTCCAACCCCCTGCCAAGAAGCAGGAAAATTGCATTCAAAACACCCCTGACAGATGGCCATCCAGCCTCTGTTTAAAAGCTTCCAAAGAAGGAGCCTCCACCACACTCCAGGGGCAGAGAGTTCCACTGCTGAACGGCTCTCACAGTCAGGAAGTTCTTCCTAATGTTCAGATGGAATCTCCTCTCTTGTAGTTTGAAGCCATTGTTCCGCGTCCTAGTCTGCAAGGAAGCAGAAAACAAGCTTGCTCCCTCCTCTCTGTGGCTTCCTCTCACATATTTATACTTGGCTATCATATCTCCTCTCAGCCTTCTCTTCTTCAGGCTAAACATGCCCAGTTCCCTAAGCCACTCCTCATAGGGCTTGTTCTCCAGACCCTTGATCATTTTAGTCGCCCTCCTCTGGACACATTCCAGCTTGTCAATATCTCTCTTGAATTGTGGTGCCCAGAATTGGACACAATATTCCAGATGTGGTCTAACCAAAGCAGAATAGAGGGGTAGCATTACTTCCTTAGATCTAGACATATGCTCCTATTGATGCAGGCCAAAATCCCATTGGCTTTTTTTGCCGCCGCATCACATTGTTGGCTCATGTTTAACTTGTTGTCCACGAGGACTCCAAGATCTTTTTCACACGTACTGCTCTCGAGCCAGGCATCCCCCATTCTGTATCTTTGCATTTCATTTTTTCTGCCAAAGTGGAGTATCTTGCATTTGTCACTGTTGAACTTCATTTTGTTAGTTTTGGCCCATCTCTCTAATCTGTCAAGATCATTTTGAATCCTGCTCCTGTCCTCTGGAGTATTGGCTATCCCTCCCAATTTGGTGTCATCTGCAAACTTGATGATCCTGCCTTCTAGCCCTTCATCTAAGTCATTAATAAAGATGTTGAACAGGACCGGGCCCAGGACGGAACCCTGCGGCACTCCGCTCGTCACTTCTTTCCAAGATGAAGAGGAAGCATTAGTGAGCACCCTCTGGGTTCGTCCATTTAACCAATTACAGATCCACCTCACCGTAGTTTTGCCTAGCCCACATTGGACTAGTTTCCTTGCCAGAAGGTCATGGGGACCTTGTCGAAGGCCTTACTGAAATCCAGGTACGCTACATCCACGGCATTCCCCGCATCTACCCAGCTTGTAGCTCTATCGAAGAAATAGATCAGATTAGTCTGGCATGACTTGTTTTTGATAAATCCATGTTGACTATTAGCGATGACTGCATTTGTTTCTAAGTGTTTGCAGACCGCTTCCTTAACAATCTTTTCCAGAATCTTGCCCGGTATCGACGTGAGGCTGACCGGAGGGTAGTTGTTTGGGTCATCCTTTTTTCCC